CTCTATTGGATTAATGTCAAGTGAATTTGGAGGCTAAGACATGAATGTCATTGTAATGTTCCTCGACCCACTTCCTAACAATTCTACCCTTATGATATGGTGCATTATCCTGTTGGTAAACATCATCCCCTGCTAGAAGTACTGTTGTCATGAATGGGTGAACCTGGTCTGCAACGATGTTCATGTAGTGCAGACATCAGGGATTGTTCTATGGGGATTATAGGTTCTAATGTGCTCCATGAAAGCATTGCCCGTACCATAATACCACTGCCACCAGCTTGCCTCTGTCCAACTGTGCATCTGGGAGCCTGGGTTTCGTTTGGAAATCAGCGTATTAACTCAGGCCCATCAATGTGATGGACCAGAGAACATGATTTGTTGCACCATGCAACTTTCTTCCATTCTTCTAATGTCCAGTTCTGATGTTTCTTGGCCCATTGCAGACGCAGCTGTGGATGATGTGCCATCAGTGACTTCGGTGATACATCATCATACTTCAATAAAGTTCCGTCAATGCTTCGACTTCTGGCTGCATAGGCCCATATGCAGCAGTGTGTTGAGAAACACTGTCCGGGTCGCCACTGTTGTAGTTGTTCAGTCACGGCAAACAATGCCTAGCAATCTCCACTCTCCTCTGGAATCAGTGTGCCATCAATGACACACTGCTGACCGGCAACTTATCATTTCACCATCAATGCTCTACTTTTGATATGTGCTCACAAAAACTGCACATGAACATCTCACTAAATGTGCTGCTTCTGGTATTGATGTTCCCAGTCACCAAGCCATAATGGTTTGACTTTTGTTGAAGTCTGATAAATCAGCTACTTTTCCCATTATGTCACTAATCACACTATGTTTGAAAAGACAATGGATAGCCGCTTTATATACTCCAACATTAGCCATACACGCACAATGGTTTTTTTCCCTGGTGATTGTTATAGATGGAGGGTGGTCATAATGTAATGGCTCTTTGGTGTGTGTGTGTGTGTGTGTGTATATATGGAAGTTTATTTCAAAAACACTAGATGAAATGTTACTTTAAGTTAATTCTTGACCAAGTTAGAAAAATGATTGTTTAATTCACTATCACTCAATGATGACACGTCGGCAAACTTGATTATGAAATATATCGTTAATACAGAAAAAACACAACATTTTTATTTATTAGTTTTTTATTAAATTTGTTTTTCCAGCTTTTCCGCCAGATGTTCTTGTTCACACCCAGAAAAATAGACGACACCCAAACGATTGATTGGTTTAAGAATGTATGGTAAAAAAAAAAAAAAAAACAGGTGCACTTTTAAGGAAACTTTCACTTTTGGTTCAGGATATGTTTCGACCGCATTGTTCTTATCATGTGCTAAACTGGAAATAAACAAAAATTTGCTAAAATGTGAGTGTAATTTTACCAAGTACATTGGTATGTTGTTGTATCAGCAGCAGAGCCGCCACTCATGCGACAAATTTGTTTTTCCGAAAATGTTTCTCGAAAGTTGAGGGATTGACTTTATATGCGGGGTCAACTTATACATGCGGTATGTATGGTAATTACTTTTTTGCATCCCCATATTGATGGCATTTACTAAAAAAATATGTGAAAAGTCTTAATTTTAAAACCATTAAGTGAAACAAGGTGGGAAAGTCATATCAATGCTATTAGACCTCTAAAGCAAGACCTAAAAAACATAATTATCACATTAAATGCCTTAATTGAAGATACCATCAGAGTCATAAAGACAAAATGGGTGCTGAATCAATAGTTAAAAGTCTTGAAACATTAAAATTTTTGTGTTCAATTTTAATTAGGCATGATTTATCATGAAGAATTGATATATTGAGTAAGATGCTTCAAATTGAACATTGCAGACTGCATTGAAGGCTTATATAATCTTAAAAAGTATTTAGTTTTCCAAAGATCTGATGACAATTTAAAAATATTTGTCGTTTCAGCAACAATACTTGCTAGAGATTTAGGTATTGATCCTGAATTTCCCAACTCGAAGCTCAGAAAAAAGGTCAGTTTATTTGATTACAAGAGTAGTGATGAATCAGTTTCAAATTCCTTCCAACAATTCAAGACTTCCCTCTATTTTGCAAATCTTGATCACACGATTTCTTCTGTAAATGAGATTTACCATATTATCTGAGTGCAATTTAATATTCTGCTTTCTATACGAGTTTCACAACATTTCTAATGATGATTCCATGGACTTGAATATTAAGGTACAGGAGGAAGGAAGTATTATGAAAAATACAGATGGTATACAACTTTTTAATGAAATAACTTCAGTCAAAGATATTTTTCCAGGTAAAAACAGTCAATTGAGATATTAGAAATTGTAGTAAAAAGTGATCTCATTCCCTGTTTTCCCAAATTTTGCTGTAGCAATAGGAATTTTTTTAACCTTGCCTGTTTCTGTGGCTTAAGATGAAAGAAGTTTCAGTAAATTAAAAATTACTTGAGAAATAATATGGCACAAGAAAGGCCATCATCTCTATTGAAGCTGAAATCTCTGAAAAAATTGATTTCGCCGAAATTTTTGAAAAATTTGGTTCTCAGAAAGCCAGAAAAGTTATTTTATAGTTAATTATTAGGCAGTCTTTGTAGAAGGACTGATTTATATACTTTTAGTTTCACGAGATTTATGCTTTAATACTTTTTTGAGTAAATACTGTTGTTTTGCATATTTAATTATAAAATTTCTGTTTTTATTTTAAAGGTAATATTTTTGTGTGTTTATTATTTTGTTACTATTGTAATCTATTAGCTGGTCAAAAAATGAAGTTTTACACTTTAAATTTTATTTTCATTTTTATTAATGTTTTACTTTTTACTCTTATGCTGGTTGATGAGTGTATAACGTCAGTGTTTAGTATTAGTCAAAATATGAAAAATTCTCTAGAGGGACGGTTTATTAGGTCTTTGTACATGGGCGGCCGACAGCATAGGATTGGTCCTGATGAGTGTGTTAATAATATATTATTTATTTTAAGGATTATATTTGCAGGTTAGGTTTATGAAAAGATATATAAAATATTGGTTTTTATGTATACTGTTGACACGTTCGTAAATTATTTTATGCAACCTCTATTTTTCAAGTGTTAATTGTAAACATTTACTTGAAGTCAAAAATGTAAGCAAAGACAAATATTTATGTTTACAAAATGTAACAGTTTCTATGGTCCACCAATCGCTGTAGTAATTAGTAAAATTTATTCTCATTGTAAGAAATCAAATTCAAAATGTTTTAATCTCATACAACAAAAACTGACTAAGATATTAAATTTTGAAAACTGAAATCATGTTCAGAGCTAGTACATAAACTGAGAAGTGAAATATAATTTATACCTAATTAAAAATGAAGTGTGAAAATGTGTGCAAGTTTAAAAAAGGGTGTTTGATGTTAAATATTACCATGCAGATTGTCATGAAACATTTTGATCAATGCTTTTCCAGAAGAGAGATCTTATTCACAAATCTTCCAGAATTAATTCCAGAAACATTGGAAGACTTCGATATTGATATATTGCCATTTCATAATATAATTTGCATTAACTCAAAAATATTAAATAATATAGTCATTTTTGAAACTTACTTTTTGGTGAGCTTCACTTTTGCATAACTTTGTGTGGGCTTTGGTCCAATTGTGCTAATAGGTCTGGAAACTCAACCTGCCCTGAAACTCTTAATTGCATTCATCGAATCGCCATCTATGGTGATTTTTTTTTCTAATGAATGTTTTTTTAACTACTAGTTTAATAAAACTTATTCATTACTCTCTAAAAATCAAAGGAGGAGACAAGGTAGATAAATGTAATGTACCCAAAGAAAATTACATGAATGATTTATTTGAATGATTTATTTCTGAGTTACATAGTTACAAAGTAGTGAGCTCAATAAGGTGTTGAACCACCTCTGGCCTGGGTGCAAGCTGCTGCACGGCGTGGCATAGACTTATAAAGCTCCCGTATGGTTTCCTGCAGTATTTCTTGCCAGATTTGCTCCAGTTGTCAGGCTAGGTCATCAACATTCCCTGGTAGATGCAGTCACTGTCCCATCATATCCCAGACATGCTTGGTGGGAGAGATATCTGGAGATCTGGCTGGCCAAGTGTTTGAAAACTAAAAATTTACCAAGAAAATGAAAATTACTAATTTTCAACAAACAGTGATTGTGTAATGTCACAGTTTTTGTTCCATTGAATGTAAATGAACTTTGTTTTACATGAAGTGCTTCTCAGTTTTCCAGCTTGTCATAATGCACATTAAATGGCAAAATGTTTTCTGTGCTAATGGAACTTATTATTAATGTGAAGTAATTTTTTTGGACTTTTATTTAATAAATACTCTGCATTAATGGCCTACTGCACATATTTATGGTTGGTTTGTTTATTAATTTTCTGTCTGGCAGGCTCTTTTTTGGTTTACTTTTTTTTATCTCTTTTAACGTATATAATACATTTGATTTTGAAACATATCCAAGGAAGGAATATATTAATTTCAATCCCCGATGTGAGTACCACCGGCATGGGACTTAATCACCCCATGGCATTTTTGTGAAATTTTTTAGCTTGTGTGATTTTTGTGATACATTTTTAACATCTAATTTAAATACAGGGAATTTGTGTTAACAAAAACCACACTTTTTCCTTTTCAAAACTAAAACACACACACAAAAACAACAAAAAAAAAAAAAAAACTCTTTTAAAGGTATAAACTTAGCAATGAACAAAGATGAAAAAACTTAATTCTTATATATGTATTTATATACTTATATATGTATTTATATAGGGTCATTTGAAAGAATATCCATGGTTTAGTTCTGAATAGTGTATTTTATGTATTTGATCCTGTTAACATGAAACTATAGAGTCTTACTCTCTTGTTCCAGATAAACTACAGTAAAAGCCTTAAAGAAAGCAAAGTTTAAGATCCCAAAATGACCTGGCGAATTCTCGCACAGCCATGAAGAAAACTACTGACTTGAGAAGAAGGGTGAAAAATAACCCTTTAATTAAATTCAAAACAGTTAACAGAAAGGCACGGTCTTCGTGCATTACAAAGGCACCATCCAGCTTGCGGTGAAACTAAACCATAGAATGTAATTTAAGTCAAACCTAAAATAAATACTGCTAGACAGTGCTTAAGTTACGCCTACCAGGTGGACTCACAAGAACTTAACCGGCATGATGATAAATCCGATATGGCCAAGAGGCTTCCTAGCGAAACAACAACGAAATGTACGCTTGACTAGTGAAACACGCTCTGAATAAACTCTGAGATCCCACATTTAAATAAGCACTTCACTTAACTTTAAATTTACATTCTAGCAAGAGAACGTGAGGGGAAGTTGAGGAGTTTAGAAAAAGGTATCAAATTAAAATAAATTTGTTATGCAAAGTAAGGAAAACCCTACAAACTTATATAATAGTAATTTAATGCCGGTTGAGCAAAGTCTTCCTCAATTTTACATGATATGTTTTATACCTTAATTATTGTACAACAACATGTCTGTTAAATATTTAAATAGTACCCATGTAGAATCAGCATAAAAATATATTTGTTGTTATTTACTACAGTTTTAAACATAAAATATTGCTGAGAGCAGCAGATATACTTACACCATAACTATTAAGATAAAAGGCTGTTTTTCTTTTCTGTTTTTAAAGAAGTTTAAAAAAAAGTTCAATAAGAACTTTTATAGCATTCACGTGTGTATTGTAATATAATAAATTGAGTGTATATATATAGTTACAAATGCATAGTTTGTATATAAGTAAAATATTATATATATTATTATATATATATAATATATATATATATGTGTTGTGAAATTTTTGTGTAAATCGGTGGTTTTCATTAACAACTTTAAATGCACATTGATAGTTTTTTAATTGAAAATTATTATAGTGTTAATTTTAATTTTTTTTATTGCTGATTAACTGTAATCACAATAAAATTCAAAATCTGGAATACTATACAGGTTTTATGCTGATTAGAAGTACTTTTTCAAAATAACTTTAAAAAAAATAAAAAACTGCAAATTAAGCTACTGAGTGTCATTGCCTAAATCATAGTTTTTCTGAAACATGCTGAAACTGCAAATGCTACAGGACAGTTTATGCCGAAAACATAATCCCAAGTGTAGTGATGTCATCCAACAGTAGAGTGGCCTGATATATTTTCAATAGCCACAGCTGGATGTGTCCTACTTGCAGTTGTGAAACCACTGGATTATTACATTTGCCAATTCTTGTGTTAAGCAAGAAAGTTTCCCATCAATCCAGATGGTGGTGTTGATGGGAAAGTACCATTTATTTTTTCTCAACTTCTCAAAGTGAGCGATAAGTTTGGTTTGTGGCCGTGAAAAAGTATGTAAAAGGCTCGAATTTTACAATTAAATATCTTGGTCAGTCTTTGTTGTATAGGCGTCAGACTTTCTGTGTTTTACTTTTTAGAATGAATATAAATGTTTTCTGAATACAATATTGGAGACTGTTAAAAACGTTAGATTTTGTAATTTTTAAATATAAAAATTTCATAAGATGAGTATCTGTGTCATTTAAAACATTATTATTATTATTGGAAGTAAAGAACTTTTGTGAGCATTTTGTATATTCATACTCATTTGTATATTAAACACATATTGCAGGAAATTGTACCAAATATGTGGCCTATGCATGTAGATTACACAGATGTTGAATGCCGAAGAGTTTTGCGGAGTATAGGTTTGTCTATTTAACTGTTCTATATTAAACTCTTGTATTTACTTGGTGTTGTGATAACTGTATGTATAATATAATGTTTTTGAAATCTTTTTATGATAAGAATTGGAAGCCTATGCATCTGTTGTTGATGCTTTTCGTGCTCAAGGTGCATTAACAGAAGAAAGAAAGAAACTGTTGCAAGATTTGTGTATGGCATTAAGGTAAACATTTCAAAGTTATTTAGCACTAAATGATACTATTACTTCACATTTTAGATTGAAAAAGTTTATTTTTTTATTCCTTGCAAATAATACAGACTGTTGATTGCATTTCTTCATGTTTCAAGACGATGGTTCTCAAAGAGGGTAGTGCTGCATTTGAATTTTCAAGGACATTAGGCATGAATGAGGAAACAAGAGTTTCTTTGAATTTCAAGAGGGCAGCAGTAATTTTAATAGTATGATTGAGTATAATTTATTTTACCTTGAATGCTTGTATCCAGAATAGTATCTGATTTTTGCAGTTTTTGCTTTGAATATATCATTCCTAACATATTTAGTTGTACAAAACACTGTTGTGTTTGGCAAAAGAAAGAAATTGCTGGCAAATTGTTGAATATATAGTGACTGATAATTTAGCAATTCTAATTTACCTAATGTATTCAGTTATATATTATAAATTTATTAATTAGTAGTTATATAATTTTAATTTAGTAGTTTACAAAGTGATTGAATGCTTTTAGATTCCGTGAATGATGCAAAAATTTCAGATGAATTTAAACAGAATAATTTTAACTTACCATTAATCTTACTCATTCCATTGATTAAATATCATGTCTACTTTAACACCAGTAGTAATGTATTACCAAATTTTCTCACACATCCCTCTTGTGCATCCCTTCTGCATTTTTAGAAGTGTGAATTTACTGGCTTGGCTTCCATGTGCATTTCAGATCCATTCATTCAACGCCTCAAAATCGTAGCCAAGGCATTCAGTCCTACTGTTTCATGAAGATAAAAGTTAAAATAAAATGCAACTTGATTATAAAGCGATACCAGCTTTAGAGATTTAATTGGCAGGAAGTAATTTATAGGACAAGAAAATATGATCTTGTACTATATAAAAATTGAACATCTTTTTTCCTCTATAACACCAGTAGTAATGTATTACCAAATTTGCTCACACATCCCTCTTGTGCATCCCTTCTGCATTTTTAGAAGTGTGAATTTACTGGCTTGGCTTCCATGTGCATTTCAGATCCATTCATTCAACGCCTCAAAATCGTAGCCAAGGCATTCAGTCCTACTGTTTCATGAAGATAAAAGTTAAAATAAAATGCAGCTTGATTATAAAGCGATACCAGCTTTAGAGATTTAATTGGCAGGAAGTAATTTATAGGACAAGAAAATATGATCTTGTACTATATAAAAATTGAACATCTTTTTTCCTCTATAAAGCAAAGTTTCTTCAGTCAAATGTCATCCTGTTGTTTCTTACTATAGTCCTCTAGTGTCTATTTCGTGTAGAATATTAAGGGCATTGACTGATTGTAAAAATCTCCTGATTTACATTATATTGCGTAACAAGAAACATTTTTATCTGTAGTGCAAGGGATGTAGCACACAGTGTAAGAATATAAAAGAAAGTCCTGTTTAATAAAAGAAAGTGTTGGAGCTATAACTGATCACAATATGGTATTTCAAGTCCATATATACATGGCCTGATAGTATAAATTCTACCATTATTTCTCACATCAAAAGAATTATTACATTGTGTAATTTTCTTCTCTCAATTTTCTAGCAGTAAAGGTAAATGAAAATTATGCAGATAAATATATTGTACTGTAATATTGTATGATTATATGGATCTGTAATTTTTAAGTATTTTTTGATTATCTGCATTTCCAGTTTCAACGTTTGGTAATATTTCCATGTGTTTGGTATATTATGTATATATCAAGTATGTGTGCGACAGTAGTACTAGATGCATGCAGGCATCCTACATGTTTAAATCACGTGGATTTATACATTTTATAATTAACACATTTTGTGCGGTCTATTTAACATATGCAACTATGTTGCTTAGAGGTGAGTTAAAATTGGTAAAAACCTTTGTAGAGTACTTAAAAGTTTTACAGTCCTATAACTCAAAAATGAACAAGTTTTTTGAAAAAAAAAATATAAGCACAAAAAATGTCGAGAATAAGTTTTTACATCCATATAGCCAATAATCGGATTAAGGTTACCACCTTTGTAGGATACTTAAAAATTTCAAAGTACTATAACTCAAGAACGAACAAATTCTGGAAAATATAAGAATCAAAAAATTTTTTAGATAAGTTTCTTCCAATTGCCAATAATCGGATTAGGGTTACCATCTTTGTTTTTTAAAAGATTACTAATTGAGTTTTTTATGAACAAAATTTTATTAAAAAAAACAAAGAAATTTACATTGCAAAAATAAATAGATAAACTTATACATATAGAAATATATTTTACTATTTTATAAACTTATGTGCAATTATGGCTAGGTCCTAATATTTTTTTTTTTTTTTTAGTGTGGTATTTAAAAAAACAATCTCCCCGATGTAGTGAAACTTTGCAAAATTCGCACATATAACATGGTAAGCTTTTTTTCTTATGCGCGGCATATATACAACACTATCTCCGAGGTTTTTGTTTATGCCACCTGTAGTAGTTTTTACTAATTTGTTTTTTTGAATCTTTTGATATTCTCTGTGGAGGATCATTTCTACTGGACATAGCGGATGTACCTGGTACAGGATCATCCGTATTTTTTGGAGTAGCATCATTAATCCACTGTTTTTCGACATCATGTAATAACACTTTGTGCTTTTTTGTATTTGTATTTAATGTTTTAAAAACTCTAAAAGCATTAAATAATGCACAATTGATAAAAAAACCACAGTCCTTTTCGTCTATTTTTTGGTATGATGCACAGTCGAGAAATACGATAAGTATTGGTCAGCGCGATCAACACCCTTCATGTATTTGTTGTAATCAACAATGCATATTGGCTTCCAAATTCTTTCTTTTGTCACCCAGTCAATATTATAGCTTTTCACAATGTCAGCTGAATGTATTGTTGAAATCATTTGGACAGGCCTTTTTGATTGCCAGCATTGTAATAAAATGTTTTGGCGGCGATGAAATATAGATTCTCTCCTTGTTAATTTAGCATTTTTCAAACAAAGAGGAAGGCCTCTGTTTGCATGAATAGTGCCACAAGTCCGAAATCTATGTTCTAAAAGTAATTCACAAGTGGCAACACTATTGTAATAGTTGTCCATATATATATGATGCCATAAGTTGGAATAGTGTTCCAGCAGATTTGCTGCAAGGCCATATATATACGGCCTAGAATATTTTTTGTGATATCTGTAAGAACGTATATATACTTGCATATTAAAATATGTCAAAGAAATTAAGGAGATATATCAAAAGTACACAAAATCCAGGTATGAAATACCAGAAGAGTTTTTACATTAAAATAAATAAATAAATAAATAAATAAAAATAATAAAAAAAAATCATTTGTTCTCATAGTACTTTTGGGAAATTTGTGCTTTCTTAGCGAAAACCCTGGCCGCTTAGAGGTTAAAATTGTTTGTTGTAAACGACTTCCTTCTCCACAGTATATGCGAAAATTACAAATGTAACCAGTTTTAGCTTTGCAAACCATTCTTATGAGTATTCCATATTTTATAATTTTTTATGCATTATGAACTTTGAATGCTAGGCAACCTGTCCATGGTATAATGCTTTCATCCAATGATAACTCCCCCTCTGTCTTGTAGACTTCCTGGAATTTAGGCAAGAAGTAATCTATGATTGGACAGATCTTTTTAAGGTGATCTCTGCTGTCTCTGTCATTATTATTGGAAAAATACCATGCATACCATATTTGTCTGAATGTATCCCTGCTGAATCTTCAGCAAAAATTGGAGTTTGGATAGTTTTATCTCTAGACCAATATTCGTCTCTTGTGTCCTTACGAACTTGCCCCGTTAGGAAAAGGAATCCCAGCATTTTTTTTTTTTAATTCCACCACAGTCGCATCTTTCCGCTTCACTGATTTTGCTCTGTCTCTAAGTAAATCTAGGTTTTATGTGCGATACCGATTGGTTTCCGTCACCATATATTCAAATAAGTCATCTCCAATAAATAACTGGACCACGTCTACTACACTCTCTGAATTATTTGGTGTTGTAAAAACCCTACTTCGTCCTAAAAATTGTTCAATAATTCATTATCAGTTTTTGACCAATCGAGCCCTTCATCATCACTGTCTTCAGAGTCGCTGGATGGTATAGGTAAAATTCTATTTCTTCTAGGTTGGAATAATTCCTCATCACTATCATTATCTAATTCAGAAATTCCACATCACTTAAAATCTGCAACAAGTCATCTGCATACACATGGCTATCACTATCAGAATTCACTGTCATAAAGTAATAAAATTTAAATAAATTTATACCGCGTTAAAAAGTCCCACACAAATGGTCACCTCACAGCAAACAAGGCCAATGAACGCTAACTTCCAATGTGTAGACGGAAATTGTGCTCAAATGTCGAAGTTTGCATTACTTGGTCACCAAACTGCACCAACTTGTATATTTGTATACACATATTTGGAGTAGGAGGCATTGTCTACCCGCCAAAATGACATTGTCGTAAATCCTTACTCAGCCAATCAGGAGAACTTTAGCGACTATGATAAGGCACGATAGGCAGGGTCTTTAGGTTTATACATATATACACAGTGGCATAAGCAGTATTTTTTTGGGGGGTCAACCCCAGATATAGCCATTAGTAAGTACCAAGTTGTATCATTTGATACCATTTGGTCATAAAAATTCTTCTGGATCATTTCGGGGGGGAGGCTATGCCACTGTGCCCTCCCCCTGGCTACGCCACTTGTACATACATTACGTACTAGTATGTTTTTGAGTTCGAACCTAATGAAAAGATAAACTATTATATAACGTGTATAAAGTATACATACACAATGCTAAGCAATTTTTATTAGATGCAGTGGCAGATTTAGAAAACTCTCAAGGGGATGGCACATGGGGGGCACATACATATATCATTTTTCATATGGAAGTGCATATATATTATAAGCGTAAATATAAAGTATTTTATAATTTTTGTTGTTCATTTCAGCAATGGGGGGGCATGCACCCCCATCGCCCCCTTAA